CTCTCTCTCTCTCAGTTCGTCTCTCTCTCTCTCTCTCTCTCTCTCTCTCTCTCTCTCTCTCTCTTAATGAGAATGTAATCGAATTCAACGGATTTGCACGTGCCATCTTTTCTATTTTTCTTTGGTTGTGACAAAGACTGTCGGGGCATACTAAACTTCCATGTTCTACAATATCCCCGGTTCCTGGCAATAGGAATTCATGAGTACTAAGTAACTCGCTTAGCAATTTAACCTCCGGCAGGTTAAATTCTATTCTCTGTAGAAATACAGATATAATAAAAAATTTAACAAAAGGTGAGTACACATTGTAATCGTCAGTGAATGCAATGCAGCGTATGTAGTCCAACCTAGATTGAAATTTATTCAGAGAATTAATGAACATGTAAGTACTTGGAAGCCGATCCGGTGGCCGAGATCGCTACGGCACTAGTGCCGTTGCGATATCGTACCGAGAGATCGCGGGTTCGTGTCCCTCCTCGAGCATGGTTGTGTTGTGTTCGTCCTTGTACCCCCTATCATCATCATCATATCAGGGAAGGCAACGGGAAACCACCCTGAATAATTTATCCCAAGAAAACCCGTTATGGGTCACCTAACTTCCCTATTTGGAAGATAGGACCAAAGAAGAAGTACTTGGAAGTTAAAAGAGGGCAAATTTAGTTGTTTTCTTAGTCCTGTTACGTTTCGTAACAGCATTCTACAATCAAAGTGCAAGTGTACTGGCGTCTAGTATGTGGAGAAATCCTCTTTTAATCTAGTTAGTCGTCGTGTCGTCCTGGATGGCCGCGGTGGCTAGCGCATGCACCGACTCAACGCCTTGTCTGGAAGAGCCCCGGGTTTGAGTGCCGACGTGGGCATAGCTGTTTGTCCCTTCTCTTTCATGTAGGTGATTATCGTGGAAGTCCTTGTGAGTCTGCTGACCACACATCGACTAGCCTTTAAGGCGTAATTCATTTTGTGTGTTGTCAACTAATTTAAATTGAATGCTTTATTTGTTTTTACTGTAGTCTTCTTCTGTGGTCCTATCTTCCATATACGGAAGTTAGGTGACCCATAACGGGTTTTTTGAGATAAATTATTCAGGGTGGTTTCCCGATGCCTTCCCTGATATGATGATGATGATGATGATGATGATGATGATAGGGGTGAAAGTACGAACGCAATACAACCATGTCCGAGGTGGGACTCGAACCCGCGATCTTTAGCCTTAGCGATCTCGGCCACCGGATCGGCTTATTACTGTAATAGTGTCCGAATTAAATTTCTCCACGAATTTAGTTCGGACACTATATAATAGTATTTTACATACAATAGTAATCGTATTGTAATAAACATTGTTGTAGTTATTGGCCTTCAGTTTACATATAATTTATTTTTAAATAAAATATATATTTTAACACGACTACAAATTATGGAATATTATGTCTTCGCATGTAGATCGTATACGACGAATCATCTCTGGACTCCTCCTTTTGATGAATACAGTTATGAGAAAACTTACTATAGTTTATTATAACCTATTGTATTAAAATTACGTTACGTACGTGGTATGTATCACAGACAAATTAGTTGTTACACCTAAATTTGGCCTAAATACGTTTCAGCGACTGCAAATAAAAAATTGCGTATTTGCGATAAAATATTATCTCCATAGGTACTTTTTCTTTTACAAAAAATATACAGGGTATAACTATGGTAGCTCACCAACTTTGTGAAATCAAAATATGAAACGATTTATATGGCAAATTAGAAATTAAAAGTATTACTACAAATTAAATCAATTCAAAGATATTTATCTTTGGTGAGTGGTTGTGTTCTTTACATTCAATTGCCTAATTTGTGGTTACTATTTAAAATGAAAACCTTGGCCAGGTTTTTTCTCATATACGATATGTATAAAAAAAATGAAAATTGACTTCAATTTCATATACGATATATATAGAAAGATTCGTTGGAAATTTATTTTAATTGAATCCAGGCGTTAATGCATTAAATGTACACGAGATGCATTTAATGGTCAGAAGGCATTATTCAAGAGCATCCAAATACTCATGTTGATCCTTAAACTGGGGCTGATTTTTGTAGGACACAAAGTTTTATTTAATTTGTACAATATATAAAACTCACAGGCTTGAGCAAAGATATTTTATACTTACAATGCCGACCTTCTCTGCAGCACAAGCGTAGAAAAACTGCAGACAGAAAGGAAAGTTATATTAATAAAATACTAATGAATAATAACAGAGACTATAAAAAAACTAACATGTTGCAGACGTTCCCGTATATTTGTGACGGCCAGGTAATATTCTTATTATATTGCAACTATGAGTAAATAATATAAATTTATTATTTTAGTCATCGCTTGCTAATCATGCACCTCATTGTTACTAAAATCGCATTTTATTTTTATTTCTTATTATATTTCTTACTTAATAATCCTTTGTTGCTGAATCTGTATGTACCAGTTCATTTATAACAGTAGCGTCTGTCACTAGCGCTGATTCGTACAGTATACTGGTGGTTGCAGTGATCAGTGCTTCTCATAGTAAAGATTAGAAATTGAATTTTTCCTCAATTTGCCACGTAATGGGGAATTTTTCGTATTTTGAACTTTCGTCTTTAGCCCAAGTCGCATTTCGCATGTAACTCCGAAACAATTATTTTGACCAAACTCTGCTTTGCTCCATTCAATTTCTCGTATCATGTTCTACTTATATACCTGTTAACAACCAGATGAGCCAAAATTATTTTTTCCCCTAAATTGTCACGTAATGGGGGGATGGGTTATTCGAACTTTCGTACTTAGCTGAAATAGTATTTCGCATGCAACTCCGAAACTATTATTTTTACGGAATTGCGGTTTGACCACACAATTTCTCGTATCATGTTCTAACTATATACCAGTTTTACACGATTAAAGGATTTAATTTTTCCCTAAATCATCACGTAATGGAAGAGCGGTATTTTAAACTTTCACATCTACCCGATATCGTATTTCCCGTGTAATTCCGAAATTATTAAATTAAGCAGATTGTGGTATGCTCATTCATTTTCTCGTATCTTGTTCTACTTGTATAACAAGTTTCAATACAATAACACAAAATTATTTTTTTCTCCATTTTGGCACGTAACGAAGGGGTTCTTTAAACTTTCGTATTTAGCCGAAGTCATATTTCCCATGTAACTCAGAAACAATTATATAAAGCGGACTGTGGTTTGCGCCGATAAAATACTCGTATCTTGTTCGACTTGTGTACCAAGTTTCAACAATACCACGATTTTATTATTACCCGATTTTGGCACGAAATGGGGGGGGGGTAGTTTAAACATTAACGTTTAGCCAAAGTCGTATTTCCCATGAAACTGCGAAACTATTAGATTGAGCGGATTGTGGTTTGAAACAATGAATTTCTCGCATTTTGTTCTATTAGTATACAAAGTTAAAATACAAAAACAAGAAAATTATTTTTTTCCTGATTTTGGCACGTAATGGGCAGGGGGGTATTTTGAACGTTCGAATTTAGTCGAATATCTTATTGCCCATGTAACTCCGAAACTATTAGATTGCGGGATTGTAATTTGCGCCAATGAATGACTCGTATTTTGTTCTATTAGTATACCAAGTTTCATTACA